AGTACTTAAACTTAATTACAAACTTCAAAACATGACATTTCAAAAAATGACATTGCCACAAAATTTTAAATATGAAATCGATGCATTTTATTATTTGTGTAATCTTTCATTCGAATAAAAAATGTTGTTCGATACGAGGGCGAAAATTTGTTTTTCGAACTCCTGACGGATTGACACCCTCGACTTCGCCTCGGGTGTCAAACGCCGTCGTCGTTCGAAAAACGAAATTTTTCGCCCTTGTATCGAAAACTACTATAAGATGCCAAAGATAATCGCGCGTTGAAGAACCAGGGTGTCCACACATCATTGCAACAGAAATTGCGTGCATTTTGAGCTCTATCTATGTGACCCAATAACACGCCACTTGCCCAATGGCGTTCAAATACAGCTTTTAAATAGCTGAAAAGGTTTGGGAAGAAGTATTTAACCCGAATACATCATCAAGTTCCAGTGCGTCTTCAGAACGCAAATTAATCGGATTTCGGTGCTGGTTCCGGCAGATCGTGATGAAAATTACTCTTAGATGCCAAACATAACCGCGCGGTTGAGAACCAATGTGTCCACACATCATTGCAACAGAAATTGAGTGCGTTTTGAGCTCTATCTATGTGACTCAATAACACGCCACTTGCCTAATAGCGTTCAAATACAGCTTTTAAATTGCTGAAAATGTTTGGGCAGAGGTCTTTAACCGGAACACATCATCAGGTGTTACTGCGACATCAAAACGCATGGAAAATCCATCAAAATAAACCTCTTATGTTTCAATAAATTGCCTCCTCAACCTTATCATTCGAGTGTCATTCGTCTATACACGAACATATCCTGCTTCGTCGCCGTTGTAGTTCTGGCAGCATTTTTCCAAAATTCTCTCAGTCAAACGTGTTTAGTGACGGATTGCGAGCAAGTGCTCGAAGCTACCAGAACATGCGAAGACATCTCGATCGAAAACCTTTCAGTGCCCGGAGGGCAAACATTCTATTTGGACTAGGAACAAATTCTATTGTATTTGGCCGTCGTACAATAGAATTTCTTCCTGATGTTTCGCAAGCACGAGTGGACAGCATCTTCAGAGGTGGTTTGCCTGAACAGGCTAAGCGTTCATACGTTTATTTTCATACCGTTCAACATCTAGCAAAGAAAAGAGCCACTGGGCTTGTAGTTGCAACTGTTCTCTTTGCCCGACCCCCAAATGTCGATATCGTCCCAAAACCAATCTTCGCATCCCTCTTCAGCGCACACCACTTGAACGGCTACAGCATCTGATTCCACTTCCCCATGCACATCCAGAATGTTGAGGTTCTTGATGGGGACATTGTCCGAAGGCTCGGTATGAAGTGGATAGTTTTGCTCGATCAAAATGCCATAGTGGGTCGCACCTGCATACAACTCCTATTCAGATGAACGCCAGCAGGCGAATCCTACCTGATAGCTGGATGTTTTCGTACAGAACATCTTCAATAAACCCAAGGCCGCCTTCGTTGTGGGTTTTGATGTGGATGGCGTTTTCGCCTCCATGCATGCTGGCGTTGAAAAACGTCACGTTCTTCAGCGTGTTCAACGGATTGATCGAGCTCGTGTCGTTGTTGAAGCCCACCGAGAGGCTCAACCCATGGGTGTTGTAGCAGAGCACGTTTGAGACGCTGATGTTGGCTCCTGCACCAAAGGAGTTTTTCAGTTGTACGGGAGGTTTACTAGTGAAAGTTCAACGGAAACTTGCCGCATCTTACAGCCACACAGTCGTCTTGATTGAACACGGCCACGTCTCGGATGAGCACATTTGTGGAATTCCACACATCTATTCCGTCGGTGTTTTTGCCAAATTTTCCTTCTCCGGTAGGGTCCTGGATGTTTAAAGACAAGTTCGTTACTTACATTTTACACAAAAACTGGATTGCGTAAAACTTTTGAAGTTAATAACTGTGTTAAAGCATTTTCCAACTCGATTCTTCTTCCACCTTCGCTTTACCTCGTCTCCTGCTGTATCGTTAATGCGCCAGTTGTAAAACTCCACCCGATCAGAATTGGTAACTTGCAAGACGTCATGGGGCGAGTTGAGCACATAAATATCCCGCATTATCGAGCCCCCGAATGTTTGAACGGTGAAAAACTGCGGCTTTGGTACCCCCTTGTCGCCCAAACCATCCCAGTAGTACCTCCCCTGGCCGTCGAAAATATGCCCTTAAAAAAACGTTGTTCTCCCCAAGCCAATGTGGTTGTTTTGCCTGATACCTTCGACTCCTTGGATGGTCACTGAAGTGCCATTGATCGTCACTAGTGGGCCCTTCCAGTAGGTGGTAAACTCGAAAACAGTTCTGCCTTTGAAAGTTACCGTTGACCCATCAGTTAGATTGAGTTTCAATGTTTGCCCTCCGGGCACTGAAAGGTTTTCGATCGAGATGTCTTTGCATGTTCTGGTAGCTTCGAGCACTTGCTCGAAATCCGTCACTAAACACGTTTGACTGAGAGAGTTTTGGAAAAATGCTGCCAGAACTACAACGGCGACGAAGCAGGACATGCTCGTGTATAGACGAATGATACTCGAATGATAAGGCTGAGGAGGCAATTTATTGAAACATAAGAGGTTTATTTTGATGGATTTTCCATGCGTTCTGATGACGCACTAGAACCTGATGATGTATTCGGGTTGAAGACTTCTGCCCAAACCTTTTCAGCTATTTAAAAGCTGTATTTGAACGCCATTAGGCAAGTGGCGTGTTATTGGGTCACATAGATAGAGCTCAAAACGCACGCAATTTCTGTTGCAATGATGTGTGGACACTTTTGTTCTAAACTGCGCGATTATTTTTAGCATCGAAAAGTAATTTTCATCACGCTCTGCTGGAACCAGCACCAAAATCCGATTAACTTGCGATCTGAAGACGCAGTAGATCCTGCTGATGTATTCGGGTTAAAGACTTCTGCCCAAAGCTTTTCAGCAATTTAAAAGCTGTATTTGAACGCCATTAGGCAAGTGGCGTGTTATTGGGTCACATAGATAGAGCTCAAAACGCAGGCAATTTCGGTTGCAATGATGTGTGGACACCCTGGTTCTTAACCGCGCGATTATCTTTGGCATCTAAAGGTAATTTTCATCACGCTCTGCCGGAACCAGCACCAAAATCCAATTAATTTCAATTTTTAAGCACGTCATACGGTTCCTAACGTATCAATTTAAAGTCAAGTTCAATCCGCACATTAATTTATCTAAATTTGGAGCCCGTGGAACAACTAATCACAATATTGCCATATTCAAATCAATGAGCCTATTGTAGTCGTGAAGCGAAAAAAAGATAGACAGTATCGCTCCGCTTCGTTTATCCATAGATCGGAATGGGTGATACCCAAAAATGGGTATCAAGGAAGCTTGCTTAAGGGTATAAACTTGTGTTTTTCGATTGTTGTCTGATGGTGTGATTGGTTGGGAACATGGCAGGTTTCAACAAATCGGCCTCAAGCCTTGAACAGCGCGAGAAGGTCGATTTTGAACCCAACAGACTTTGGCCCTCTAAATTTTGATTAGAACGGGTGGACATTTTCCAAGAACAATCTGTCTGTCCTTTGGGCGCAATCTGGCCCAGCGGGTGTTGAACTTACGTCCCTCTTCAGACTGATAAGGCTGGCAAAAACCACAATCAGGACAATTTTTGGCCACTGTCCGGCGAAGAAGAGCCTTTGGAGCGATGCGTCCTGAAATGACCTTATCTTGCACCCACCCACCATCTGAGAACGTGGCCATCCTACTATAAGCAGCACTTCTTTGCTAGCTGGAGGCATTTCGATCAAAGCGTGCGGTTGGTTGAGTATCCTGCGATCTGCAGGACAGCAACGTTTCGGTGCTCGTAGGTCGGTTGGTGCGCGATTTTCAACCATTCGACGTTGCCGCGTTGAAGGCGATTTCAGTAGAATCGGGATACTTGCACATTTTGCGGATTTCAAGCAGATTTTTGGTAATTACTTTTCATATTTCTTTGTCCCAGCCAATCCCATACGGCCATTAGCATCCGTTTATAGAGCCCAAGTCCATAAAAAGGCTAAATGTTGTTTACACGGGCAACAATACTCGCACCTGGCGGGTTTTACTGTTAAATAAACTGCTGCTTTTCACTTGATGGGCTTGATGTTTTTTATGTTACAAAGTTGGGTTTTTTTCGATACTGGTTTGCCTGCACTTTGCAAATCGAAATTGATGAGTTTCGCGACATTCAAGCATTTCTTTCGCAAGTGCGAGCAGCTCGAAAGCGAAAAGCTCATCAGTCAAGAGCGGCAAAATGCGAATTTTTAAAAATACAGTACCAACTTAAAAACATTTGTAAGCATAAATTAAAGACAATTAAAATGGCTGGTTACATCGAAAGACAATGTGGAATCATGCATTACGCGTAGGCCACACCGTATAAATTAAGAGCGGCTTTAATTAAACTTGAATATAAATGATTACGCTCATAAACAATCTCAATGAAAGCCAGTAGGTACTTTTGATATACCGTTTCTGTGATTCGTAATGATAACATTTGGTGGACGGTTGGTTGTGCTTTTGCATAATTTAACAACCTTCACATACATCGACGGCAAATCAACATAAACCGGTTGACATTTAGACCAACACGCTGTACACAAAATACACTGTTCCACACACTGACTGCTCTTTTTCGCTCCCTCAAATTGATTTAAGACCGTTTTGAGCGGGCCAAACCGGCCAAGAAAAACGTATTTGCTCTTACACCATCCGGTGTTTACCCGAGCAAAACACTCTCAACCTCATTTCCGCAATTTCGTTTTCAGCTAATCGCCAAACGAGCCGGCAACGCTGTTCGAGGCGTCATTGACTGCTTACAGACCGGACCCGAAACCCAGCGATTTCATCAAATCAGGATTTGCTGGGCAGCAGCCGAAAACCTGCCGAAAAACACCGATCCTGTGTCCCATACAGGAATGCGTGGTCACTGTTATTGTGTGAGTTTTGTTAGATTTTTTGAAAATTTTCATTTATTGCACTTATTTTCCTGCACGTTTTCCGGAGCGGAAAAGTTCGCCCTGAGCGCCCGATCAAAGGTATCAAAGCTTCCATCAAATTTGAGGATTCTGGTTCGGATGCCTTTTCCACTTTGCATCATCAATCAATTCGAGGATTTTTCCTTCAATTTTGTTGTTGCAACCGCAGGATTTTGCTCTATCTAATAGTCGGTTCACTAAAGATTCAACAAAACCCCCTTTTGGACATTTGCTCCTGATGTTTGGCTAGTCCCCATCAATCATGAGTTTCAGACCGATTTTTCCGTCGAAAAAGTCGAAATTTATAAATCGAGCTTTAAGATGATTTTTGACAAATAATCACAACTTAACTCGATCATCAAGCCCCAATTTTCGTAACAAGATTGCTCGCTCAAAATCGGAGCGTTTTATGGGTGAACGTATCAAGTTGGAACGCAGCAGCGTGCAGGCCATCTTGCATCTCTCACATAGTTCTATGTGTACGAGTGAGACATCCAATGCCTGTTGTGTTCCCGAATGGAAAAATTAGTTTTGGTTCATCACTGTGCTTCCTCTGAAGATTCGCTCCGTCCCAGCAAAACGCCAGGAGCAAATTGAGGAAGAAATGCGATATTTTAAAGCTTCCCAAGGACATTTTTAGAATTTTGTTGCGCATTTTCCACTTTGCATCAATTAATTCCAGAGTTCCCTCGACTTGCAACCGCAGGATTTTTCCTAATACATCTAATACTCAACTAATAGCGCTTCAGCGAAAATTCCCACACTTTTCGCCTGATTCACCCATAATTTAATGTCACCGTAAAATCAATATCGATTCTCATCACACGCTTATCAATTCGAAAATCTAACTAAGCAGACACTAATTCCATTTATTGCTTAACGGGTTTATGTAAATTCATTTGCGATAACCATAACATAATCTTTATGGGTTTTTAACGGCTCATTTCATTAAATTATGACTTATCTATTGATTTAATAAAAGTTTTATGTCTTTTCGAACTGAGCATTTTTGTGGGATAAAACAAGCAGGAAGGTGAACTTCCAGTTGAAACTTTCAGAACGGTTTGATGTTGAAGTTGTTCTTTCACGCTGGGCAATTGACTGCATCATTCGGTTTCAACAAATAATGTTGAATGGACAAACGCTCTTATATTCCTTCAATTTTCTGTTTTAAACGTTTACACTTTTGTCCTTCAAAATCTGCCTTAAAATGGGTCGCAAATAGTCAATCCAATGGCGTTGTAGAACGCAAAAATTCCGCGCTGTGATTGGTTTATTGAATTTCCTAAAATCCGCCCAACTGTAATTCGACACTTCCACCTAAACTAAGTTTTTACGACCAATAAATGTCGTGATTTTAACCGAATTTGTGACTGGCCATTTCAATAAAATGCATTGTTCTGGTCGAATATTGATATGGGAAGTCGGTCTTAACTGTATTTCGCCATCCAAGTCTTATTGGTAATGAGCACTTCCTGTGGTTCTCATTGAACGGTTATTACACAAAGGCCATTAGATGCAATTAAACAAACTTTCTTCGATTAATACCGAAAATCCGGTGATCAATTCTATGGCTTCCTCTTACAGATAGATAGAATTGTCTTGGGACGGTCATGATTGATGCGAGCCATCTAGCTGGCTGTACTCAACCTTGTTTACTTAGAGTGAAAACCCACCAAACCGATTAATAAGCATTATGAATGATGGTTCATGACATAAATGATGCAACTTTCCGTAATTTTATGCGTCACTGATTCGCAAGAAAAAAACGTTTTACTTCCCTTTACATTATTAAACCGTAGTTTTTTCTGGGTTTAACATAGTAATTCTGTCAATTCTATTTAAATCCTGCTTGCAATACAAAGCCAGCATTCTAAAATAAATTCAAGGTGGAACTCGTGTCTTATCCTTCTATGGCCATATTCGTAATATAAACATTATCTGCTGTTAAAGTTGAATTAATAACTAATTTCGAAAATCACTTATTAATTCAAGCGAGTTGCGTCACCACGCATTACGATTAATGAAAATTAATCACGGCAATCAGTTAGAATCAAGACGTGAAAACCGCTTTCTTTATGTCTTGAGATGCCGTCGAAGGCTTTTTGGGGAACAGTTGGAAGTTATTGATCTTAAATTCGGACGTTTCGCTAACACACACGGACATCTTCAGTGATCATTCGAGGCCAACACTGAATCGCAACAATGATGAACTAAACTGATTTTTCCATTGAGTAACACAGCTAGCATCGGATCTCTCTCTCGCACCAATGGAATTAAGGGTGAGATGCCAGATGGTTAGTGCGTTGCTACGTTCCCACTTGACACCTTCTCGGCTTAAATCATCGCGATTTTACGTTTTAAGTTTCCGTATTTTGCGTCAAAAATAAAAATATTCTTAAAATGGTTCAAGTACAGTAAAGTCCGCTTATATTGAATCCGGTTAAAGTAAACTTTCGGTTAAAACAAACTTTTTCCCTTAATTGAAACGTCGTCCATAAAGACCAACGTATTTTTTTGCTGGTTATAACGAATCCGTTTTTAACGAACTTTCGGATATAGCGATCACTTTTTAGGTTAGTTGTATATTCACTTTCCGTTTATAACGAACTTCCACGCTCAGCAACACCAAATCGTTTTAGAATGGAAAAACAAAAACGCAAAGCTTTTTCACTAAATGAAAACTACGAGATTTTTAACAAAATAAAAAGTAGAGTAAAGCAGAGTGACATTTGTAAGGAATTAGCACTTGGAAAGTCTACTGTTGCAACAGTATGACAAAACAGAGAAAACATTCTATCAGCGTA